CAAGATGAAGAACTGATTAAATTTTTGGGAAGACAGGTCCAGCGGTTATGGACTCTCAATAAAAATAAGTTAAAAAAATGTCATTTGGTGGTTAAAAATGTTTATTGGGCATATGTGCATGAAATTATCAGATATTTTATAGAGATTTTAATAATGTGTACACATTTTGTGTGATTTTTAAGTACGGTACGGGAAGTTCCAGCAATTTGCCTTAAAGCACAATGTCATGCTCCCCACTAGTTTATAATTTATATCTTATTATTTACAAGCGTTCTCTAGATTTTTGTACTTTTGATTTTTGCTAGATTTATTTCTTTCTCTCCAACATATCAAAAAGCTTCGATTATATGGCTAACATAAAATTTGACCAAACTATTTCAGAATAGTGAAAAAGGTTTCAGGATTTTATGACATCGGTGTTATTTCATTGAATAATAATAAAATCTATTACTAAAACGCAATCTATATATGAATAATCAATAGCATAAATCAGTAAAAGGATTTTACAACTGATGGATGTGTACTAAATTTTGTTTCTGATAGATTGCACGGATTATAAATACTTTATTTATGTTTTTTATATCATTATTATTTTTAAACGTTTTTGAGATATTTGTATAGTTGCGTTTTACAGCCAAGTAATTTAAACCAATAAATACAATTAGCTTATATTTTCAATTAAATCACCAAATTAAATTTTTGGACATACTGACAAATTCGCTAATTCATTTAATAATAATACTTTGTATACAATATTGTTAAGAAAATAGCTAATTTTAGTATTTAAAGCGATTTTGAATCAAATTCATTCACTCTGCAATTTGAATATCAATACCCATTATTCCTATGTTTTATTGAAAAATTGAGTGTTTTCATTTATTGATAGTAAGTTTTAATTCTCAAAATGCCATTCTTTGTTCTGCAAAGATTACTAAATGTAACATCACATATATTATAATGAAGCAACACTAATTAACAATTTAATAATATAAGTCTTGCATAAGACTTGCTAATTATTATATATGAATAGATATTTGAAAAAGCTTTTAGCTCGGTAGAGCAGAATATGTCGAGGTAAATGGAGATTAGCCGAGATAATTCTGAATCCTTTAATATATGTTATATTATATAATGGTTTAATACACGTTGAATGTAATATGGAACCACTTGCAATCTGGGGCAATGCTTTCTAATTTAAATTCTCTGTAACGCTGTTCCTGATGGTGGCATCAGGTTTTGTTCTCGATTTTATGTTATTTATTTATTTTAATAGCAAACGAACCGATTTGCGCGTTTAGTCAATCTTATATTGCACAAAAATTACAAATGTTCTCTACATCAACAAATTAAAAATTGGAACCTAGGTTAGTGATACGCAAAGTGGTCCTCATGGAGGGGTGTATGACAACTTCAGGGGCTACTTCTTAAAACAAATAATTTCGGGGTCCACGAAATGAAAATATGGCTCCATAGTAGGGCTTCATAGTAGGGCTCCATAGTAGGGCTTCATAGTAGCGCTTCATAATAGCGCTCCATGATATTCGAATAAAATATTTTTATTGTATATCATTATTTAATACGATGATTATGTAATCTTATATAAAAATGGATCGCAAAATGTGTTGGTAAGCGCATAACTCAACAACGCCTTGACCAATTTGGTCAATTCTTTTTTTAAAATGTTCTTTGATGTCCAGGATGGTTAATCGAATAATTTCCGAGAGAAACCCTAAAAACAGCCCTTTTCTTTTCTCATACAAACGTTTTCTAACTAAAACGTAGAATCAATTTGAGTTTTATTGCTATTATATAAAGTTCATATTAATTACAAGCACTCACTTTATAATCCTTCTAAACGATTATGCGGATTTGATAAATATTTTCTGAAGTTTGTTAAGGAACTTTCTAAGATGTATGTGATTATAAAGTATGTGCAATATTGTAGAAATAAGTGGAAAAAATTGCTAAAAACGACATGTCATTATTTGCATTGAAAATAAAATGAAAACTATGATCTGCCAAAAATTTCAATTTACTTATGAACCTAGACAATATTAGAATATGTATAATAATTTTATGATTATGAATAAGAAAATGAAAAGTCTACATTATTATTGCCGAAAAGCAGCTAAGATTAAAATAATATAAAATACAGTATATGTATGGCAGATGAATTATACACATATGAATAAATATGACAAATTAATTCACTTAAAATATTAAGTTAAGTATTAATCAGCCTACTTTTAATGCGATGCATGCGAAAAATACGAGCGCACGTCTTAGGGGGCGCCAACACAAGATTCGGATATTAAATTTTCAATATAGATTTTTTTTAATGTATAATTTTTTTGCAGCTTTTACTAATCTTTCCACAATATTTTTAAAATTCGTAAAATTTTCACTTTATAACAACAAATGGGAAAGTAAAGATGAATACATACAATTCGGCTCTTACGATATCGAGTGGGAGAAGTTTAAGATGCAATTTTGGATATATTAAATAATAAAATTAAATTAATTTATCCAACATGAATTAATACCAGTCTTATGTTATGGGTATGGTTATGTTATTACCGTTCAAAAGACTTTAATTGCCAATATAGTGTGGGAATTGAGACTCATCATTTTATTAAACCAGCTCTACATTTAACATTGCTCATATTATAAATGTATATGCATTTTGGCGGGAAGAGTAATTTAAACAAAATATTATTTTTAGGTAAACGGTAAATATTAGTATATTATATTAAAAAATTGTAGACATGGGTACAGGACAACGTCTGTCGGGTCATCTAGTTATACCTAAAATAAATAAAATTAACTATCAGATCAGTATTTTGATCTTGTACGATGATGATCTTCAGAATAATTTTCAGTCAAACGATTCAAAATGTATTGAAACACAGAGAAAACATAAAATTAACAATTCGGATTTGTTGACTAGAACAAAACTTCTTCGAGAAGTTATAATTGCATTACTATCAAAAATTATTTAACAATTGCTTAAATTTATATCATGTAAATGACGTTAAATCTGCATCTATATAACATTTACACAAATTGTTTTCCCAGTTATAATAACAATCTCTCCATTTCAAATATCAATAGATTCGAGATGTAGAAGTTTCAGTACCAGCATGTCAGTTATGGTCTCTGATGAGAGCAATCTCTCTAAATCCTGGCATTGTTTTAGTATTCTCTGTGGAACTGTGGAACTGCTGCCAGTGTTTGTTATCCTATGCAATTTCGAGCATCCATCCGTCGTGCAAAGATAACTTTGCATTTGAAAACCCGTACCTCATCATGTTGATGTACCTGGGCTAAGTCAATGCATTCATCGTGTTTGCTTTTCCGCTTGTTAAAACGGATGATGTGCACTCAATATAGGCCTAGCATAACAGCTTAGTCAATATTTGATGATTTTCTTGTCAATTAAGGAAAACGAACTAGGTGGAAATGACTTCTTTAAAAATACTTAAAATACATAATGAAAAAGTTAAACAAACTACTCGAATTTTAATCTTTTTATGTCATGCGTACAGGAACTAGGTAACACGAGTTTCCTAGCGACTCCTAGTAAAAACATTTTAAACTAGTTGGTTTGGTATTTAGCCTTGAGGCAAGTTACATGAACTTCCCGATATGGGTAAATAATCGACTTAAATAATAAATTAATTTATGAGTGATTATAAGTATTCCAAGTGGATTTATTACACATCATTGCAAACGAACGAACGTACACGTTAACTCGGAGTATTTTCTAAAAGCAAATTTTCAAAAATCAATAATTTTAATTAATCAATAATTATAATTCAACCAGTTTCCGTAGGACTTTAATGGTTTACTATGTTCAAGACGTTATACAAAGTAAATCGTCTAATTTTAATTTTAACAAACGTCAAAAAACTACTCATTTTCTCAAACTTTGATGAATTTTAAAATTAAACTACTTGTCATAAGACCGTAATAATTCAGTAAATTCTATAAGACCACGATGTATATTGCCAAAAAAAGTTCCATAAAATCGGCCTAAATTTTTTTTCAACATTTAATTACAGAAAACGGCTCGGTAGAGTTTTTCCCCCTAAAACTAATCAGTATCATTCCCAACTAATATCTTTCGAACAGTTTTTGATTTTTTAAAATCGGTTCGTTAGTATGAGCTTAAATGTGGACGAAAGGTTTAACACTTTTTTCCAAATACAAGAAAACGGCTCGGCCGATCGTCGCACAAAATTGAGAAAACGATAATCCTCATCGAGATACATCAAATGCTATTTAAATATCTGGTATCGGTTCAGGCGTTTTTGAGCAAACGTCGATGAAAGTTCTAATTTTGACAAATGCCAAAAGACCATACAATTTTTGCAAACTATTTTTTAAAGACGATTTTTAAAGCTAAACCAGTTGTCATAGGGCCGTAATATTTTAGTATGATTCTAGAAGACTATGGTATCTACCGTCAAAAAAATAATCAAAAAATCGTCGAATTTTTTTTAAAAAAACTTATTACAAGAAAAACGGCCCGGCCGATCCTTGGCTTAAATTACATTTACTTATTTACTTTATTAAATAAATAAAATAACATTTTGAGAACTTTCATTATTTCTTGTTCATCATCATCAAAACAAATTGTATTTTAGTTTTGGAGATTTTAAGCAAATAGTATACAAACAAGTCATTTTAATATCTTTTTGTATTTGTACTGTGACTAGAAAAATTTAAAAAATGCTATAACGAACAGCAAAAATAAATGTATCTCAGAAAACAGATCAATATCGTGCTATAGTAATAAACGCGGAACGGTAAACAAACGCAATTTAGTCAGTTGTACCTACTACACGTCTTGTAATTACATTTAAACTAAACTACTAATTTTACTATAATTTCAAATTCTTTATTAATCTTCAATTAAATCAATTACAAAATGTTTCATTGGGGTGTGAGTCCAGCAATTGATTTCTGGACGTCGGTGTCGGTAAGGATTTGGATGAATTAATGTCATGTTGGTCGGACAAACTGATTGCCGGCATATAATAAAAACATTGGCTCATAAATATCGTCATGATAATAAAAAAGTGAACTTCTACGTCGTTGAGAATTGTATGGAAATGATTGCTAGACAAATGGTGATGAGTTTAATAATGCTAGAACCCCTGGAAGACATTGGACTGCAGAATAAAACCTTGATGTTTATGGAGTTTTATGGTAACACGTTGATGAGACCTGCAACTACAAAATACATATCTAATAAATCGTATCATTTACGAAATTTGGTATCAGATAGCAAGCAGATGCTAGAAGATATACCCAGTTTTGATCTGTCTTCATTGAAGTACAAACAACGTGACTACTTGGATACCTTGTTCAAATTTTGGAGCAGCCCTAATAAAGATTTTGACATTGTTAAGATTTGGAACAATAAGGTTAGACGAATGACAAAAACTCGGTACGATTATAGGAATGGTGTTTTTGATTGGGATTATAATATGCGTATAAAATCTGACACTGATATCACAAGCATATGTGCCCAGGAATATAAATATTTCAGAGACACAGGAATTGCTTTTACACGCTTAGATTGCGAATATTTTGATGCCAATTTGAGTTTGGCGGCAGGAATTATCCAAGATGGTGACAGAATGCTCATTAGTGGATTTTTAGGGGATATAGTAACTGGTCCTTACATAACTTACGGTTTGGATTGTGAAGACAAGGATATGATGGTAATAGCAAATCGTGCCAACGCTAAAAGAGTTACAGATATTATAGAGCGTAATATAACACGATATTTCCATGAGATTGCTACAGGTACTCCATACGTCCACCAGAAAATTTTGGAAGAAGACAAATACTGCAGTGGATCAGCTATATATCTTCTACCCGATGCCAGACAAGGCCGATGTATTACTAAAACTTACGACCATTCTCCTTGGAAACCTTTACTTACTAATCACAAGGATAAAATATATTTTGCAGCAAATAGAACTTTTAAAAGAAATGCCTAATAATGTGAATAAGCATGTATTTTTTGATGCTCTATTTGGTGTTCATCAAATGTTAGATATATAACTAGTGATTTTTGAAATTGTGCAAAAGTGGTGCTGAAATATTTTTTGAAACTAGAGCTGCTGCTTATTTATTTACAAGGAAAATATGAAAACGTTTGGGACAGAAATCAAAGAATTTGCTGAAACAAATAGTCTTGTTCCATGTAAAGAATTTGATCCAATCAAAGATTTTGTTAGTAACTTTGTAAAATAGGTAGTAAAATTGTTGTTTATGTATAATATATTGTTTAATAAATACTTCCAGTAACTTATTAAGTCATTATACTATATTGTATTCATACAGCTAATTTTTCCTGGAGTATATATCATACAGATATTGTTTTATATTTTTTTGAAGAATCTTGTACAATGATTTTATCAAGGTTTTTAAAAAAAGCTCGTGTTTTGTTCTGTATAAGCCTTGTTTCAGATCCTTTTATTAACAGAAAACTCTTCACTTTTCCATTGTTCTGCATTCAGTATTGTTTTGTGTTGTAAGAGATCTATTGTATTTGTACTTCAGATGGACTAATTTCTTTGTTGGTTTTCGAGAAAAGTAATCTAAAAGCTATTTTTGGATGTATTTGAAGTTGGAATAAATATTTACAATATTTGATAGAAATATCGTACTTCAGTTAATAGAGTAATGATGTAATAAATTGTCGTAAAGAGATACATGCTTAATGGAATATAATATCATGTTGAATAAATAACCCTAAAAAGTTGGAAGTTTTCAACACATATATAATATTTATAAATTATTTTCTGCAAAGTAAAAAATCTAAGAATGGCAGAGTGTTAAAATTGTGCAGTGAGTAGTAAGCAGATGAATTTGAAAATAACCAAAAACAACTATTTCATACACCAAATTCAAAACCATTTCGTTTTTTTCTAGTTGCGTGCTAAAATTCACAAATCTACACTTAGATTTTTTTAAAATCAATACTCATTTAAGTCATAGATGATGATCTCAAAATTACAATTGTAATGGACATTGTTAAGGCTAAACAATGATTGTCATTGGAGTTATAGTTGAATCTTTCCAAATACAGTTCTACTCAATATTACCTACTCGAATTTAAAGAATTGCTCCAACACTATTTTATACTCAGTTAGATGATTCTCAATTAGAGAGAATTGCTCCAACACTATTTTAAACTCAGTTAAAGATTATTCTCAATTAGAGAGAATAATCTGCTCTCAACAATTCATTGCCTTCTGATTGTGATCCTTAATAAATATGATTTATGTAGAAGTTTGTAATATAATGACAAAAATACAATTTTGTTTAAATTTGTGAAATAAAGAATTTCCTCCAATTCTTAAGTTTTTATTAAAATTGAAGTTTCTTTAAAAAAGGTAAAGATGCAATAGCTATTGGTATGTATATTAAATTTGGGTAACTTCAGGGTGGTATATATCTAAGGATATAATTCCTCTCTTGGAGTCGATCCAAGCAAAGTTGTGTCCAAAAAATTTATCATATTGGACTTCTCTAAACTGGTCTTAGATTTGATAACTTAAGTATCTTTTCTTCTAGTACTCAAAATTTAATAAGATATTTAATAGATAACATCATAGGAAACTCTTTTTTGAAGTGGTCGCGGTTTCTATAAACCAATCCGGCTTCGCCATAGTCAACAGGTCAATATTCTAAAAAGTATTGAATTTTAATTTCAGTATCTGACAGATATTCAATAATATCACTTTATAATGATTTAAAGTGATGTATTAAATATTATGATTATTATGATGTATCGGTCAAAATGTGGTAATTTATTACGTCTTAGCGCCGATACAAATTAAGGACTTTCTTGACAATTATAATCTTCTGGCAGCATATTGTGTGGAGTCAATCCGATTGCAGTTGTATCCACTAATTTGTCATATCCGACTTTCTTAAACTGCTCCTAGATCTGAAAACCTATTTAACTTCTACTTCAAATACTTGAAATTTTGGGACCGATTCTGCCGCATAACAGAAAAATGTTATGGCAAGGTCATGTTACGCTCCAACTTCCATATTATGCTATTGAATCATACTGAAACCTGTAAAAATGTCATGTATTTTCTGTGCATTCAGGCGTTTTACACATAAACTACAACGTCACTCTTATGTTATGAAGCTGAGTCAGAAAGACCCTGTTATCTAAGATTGTTTTTTTACATTTGTGCGGTTTCTGACAACCTGAGGAATACGCCTGACTGCACACAAACCACATGGTTTTTGTAAAAAAATTAGCTTGGAAAGTTCTTCATAACATGGCCTTGCCATAACATTTTTCTGATAAGGCAAAGTCGGTTCCTTAATTAGTTGAAACAAAATTGAAACAAAAACACACCAAAAAATAACTTGTGATTCAAGTCGTCGCTCAGAAGCGGAGTTATATCCTACCCAATCCGGCTTTTCCACAGTCAACTAGTTAATTTCTAAGTAATGGATTCAAATTTCAGACAAAAGCTTCTATAGCAATATTATCACTCTATAATGGTTTTGATTGGACGTATTAAGTAAAATGATTATTACGATGTATAGGTCAAAATATGGTAATGTATAATATCTTATGCCATAGACCACTAATTAATTTCCTTGATAATTATAATCTTCTAGTTGCATATTGTCTATCGACCTCGTTGGCAGTTCTAGTTAGGCGCGCCCTTCGCCCTTGACAATTTCTGTAGATAATCCCCATCGATTTTCCCCAAAGCAATGCAAGGTCGCCAACAGCACGGATTTAGGACGCATTATCAGATTTGCCGTTCTATTGTAGGAGCAGATTACTACTGTTTATGATACTCGAGAGCCTTTTCATACAATGCCGTAGAAATATATTAAATAATATTGGATGTTGTCGAGGAGAAAAGCTTGGTCTAAAAGGGATTATTAACTCTATTCATTCACTGATCAAATCAAACATAATCATCCGTTATTAGAAACGGATATCTATATCATGGACAACCTGATATCTTGAATGATCTTTTATTACTCTGTTGATCTTCATTCAAGATTTTCTGTCTTTCAATTCTAGCACAGCTTTTAGAGTTATGAGCTTTGCGCAGCCAATTAATTGTAATTTTTTTATTTCCATAGTTTTATTGTCAATCAAAATAATATACATTTTTAAGACAATTTGCTGGGTGTTAATGCATTTAAGAGATTATCTCCTATGAGATATCTCTCTTTTTTTATTTTTTGATATTTTATTTAAGATCGTATGGCCATTTTTTTTCAAGCTTTGTGTGGGATATTCCTAGCTCAATTCTTTTAAATATATGTTTGGGTGACCTGGTAGTTTTTCGTGGTATTTTTTGTTCCTTTCTTTTATCATATCGTTAATAGTTCTTATTTTTAGGTCATTATGTAGGGAATTAATTGTAATTGTACCTGATTTGTCATTTTTTGTAACATTTCATGAATTTTTATTCCATATAAATCTAATATTATTATATGATTATTATCAGCAGGTTGAATACTGTTTTTGGGTTTATTAAGTTATTAGGCAATTTTAAATTGCTTCTCTAAAGTTCCATTATTCAAAAAAACTTTGAAGCTAAATCAATCATCTTCGGTTTGGAACGATTTAATAAGTTATCAAGTGGTACCCGTTTATACTTAAAATTATGATTAAAAATAATTTTTTGAGCAAAAATGCATCATTCTTTACATTGCTGCAATATTAAAAATATATCATCAATTTGAGGCAAATTCTAGCATAAAAAAATCAAATACCTTAGCAATTAAAATATTACATTTCTTAAAAAAAATCTATAATCTCCTCTAATGATCTACTGGATTTGTCTGCTCTCATTTTATATAAATGAAATTATAATGATTTTATTATAAAAACGGTTATAAAATTGATACAGGTGAAATATAGAAAAAAGAGTGCGCGTAAGGATCACACGCCATTGAAGTAAAACTTATTTGCTTAATTTTGAATAATGTTTATTAGTAATATGGTAACACTCGTGATGTACATATTTACTAGTGTCAACCATTATACACATTTATATAATGATAAATTATAAATTATATATTTATAATAGCATCAAAAATATGTATATTTAAAAACTACGTAATTAAAGTCATACTTCAAATATGACATGATCGGTTTGTCATTGTAATAAGTAATTAAAAAATGAACCTTCATTAGATAAATGAAGTAATTGCTAATTAATATTTTTTTTAATATTTGTTCACACAGTGGATTATGTTAAACAACGCCTAAACAAATATTGTTTTTGCAACTTCACTCATCGTTTAATTGTGTTTGAAGAACTTCATGTGATTAAAATTAACATACATTCATTGACTGCTTGTATTTTTCTCACTTTTTCGCTGGCAATATAATCTCATTCTTTGATTAAGTTGTTATTTGCCGCCACTGACTTCCGTCGCATTTGTACGGATTTACACCCTAGTCGCGCCTAAAGAAGTTTTACTTCAAAAACTCATTTTCCTGTTCTTGCCATAATCAAAAATGCTCAAAATATATACGTACTATTACAGCAAATTATTGTTTCTATTTATCAATACCTTGTGTAGAATAACAAATATACAAATGCATAAACAGTTTCTTAGCTTATGATTCCTTAATTTCCTCTGTTTGCATTATATGTAAAATAGTCAGTGAACAATTCAATCAATTTTAATTATTAAAATATATTGAAAATCTAAAATTATCTAATTATTCGAAGTAAAATCTATACATTCTATTTTTGGCATTGCCCATTTTAGGAATCCTTACGTAAAAGCTTTTATACAAAGTGAATTTAATCTTACAACTATTTTCAATAATTTATAGCAAAAAAACAGAATAATTTTAGATAATTTTATGTTTATTAACAGAAACACTTAATTTTAGAATTACATTAAAGTTTTAATACTCTGAGGTAATCTCAGAAAACTTTACAAGTAATCCAAGCAATTTCAGTTCATAAATGTTTGCATTAACTTT